GAGAGAGAGAGAGAGAGAGAGAGAGAGAGAGAGAGAGAGAGAGAGAGAGAGAGAGAGAGAGAGATGGAGGAGGGAGAGAAGAGGAAGCCCTCCTCGCTATCTCACTTGCAGGTAGCTGTCACCGCCCTGACGTCGTCCGTTGCTGTGTGCAGGTACTGCATGGCGTCCAGCTATGGCGCCAGGTAAGCTTGCCGACTGCAGGTATGGCCTCCGCCCTCTCCTATCTCTTCTAATCGCTACTCCCTACTCCTCTACTTAGCGCAGCATAGCGCAGCCTCCAACCAGCAGCGTGTCGCTCAGAARTGAGCTACCCGAACTCTCCGTTGCCYAGCTGCTSCCCAGCTATATGTAGTGCTGGGCCGCTGGGCCTACCTGGTACTGYGTGGCCTAAAACGGCCCAGGTGGTCTGGGTCCCTACCGCACATCCAGACCTTGCTGCTGCTGCAGCGTGGCGCAGAAATGCGCCTGGCCTAAAAACGGYCGTCTACCGGTGCACCTGGCCCAAGGTGCTGTCTTGGGTCCTGCAGGACCGAAACGACGCCGATTTGGCRCCAAAATGYGCCTGGCCTCGTTTCGGGCCTGCCTCCGGTGTACCTGGTCCCAAGGTCCGGCCTTGGGGCTGCGAATCCGAAACGGCACCTAAACACACAAAAATAAGACAGCACACACACACAGAAAAAGGGTAAGTAAACGAAAACCTACCTGCCTACGTGCTGCCTAGGGCCTGGAGGGCCGTCGTGGGCCTTCAGGGCGCGTGCTGGATAGTACGGGGCCTGGGGGCCTCTCAGCAACCGTCGGGCCYGTCAAATGGGGCCCGTGTGCAGGCTCAGCATGTAACACCCCCCCCTCCTTATGAAGTCAAGCCGGTCGGGGGCGAAGTTGACGATCTGAAGGCGGWACTTGGACGCGTGTGCGTCGTGGAGCCGAAGATGCCGGCTTGCCTTTCAACTTCTGTTCGTAGCGTGCGAGGGCATCGGGCGCTGTTGCCTGAAGTTCCGCACGAGTCAGCCATCGGTCAGCTCTATGGGTGCAGTATGCGAAGTGGACCAAAGATTCAGTCGGCCTGTTGCCGTAACGTCGCTGGGATGTGATGTCGCCAACCTCTTGGAAACCGTCCATCGAGGGTGGGTCTTGCGATCGTCGCCTGGGAAAGTCGTCAAGTTCCRCTGGCGTGTAGAGGGCCAACTTGGAACAGTGGAAGACCGGGTTGACGGGCAAGTGGGCGGGCACCTTAATGACGAATGAAGGTCCTTCGGGTGCGTCCCCAGAGGGTGCCTCAATCGACCAGGGCCCCATCCATTTCGGAAGGAGCTTGCGAGAGATGTCTTGTTCGAGGCTGAATTCTGCAGCGGAGACCCATACGAGGTCGTCGGCGCGGAATGGACAAGGAAGACGCTCGCGGTTGGCCTGTTGGTGCATACGTTGCTGCGTCTTTGCCATCTGGTCACGTGCCTTGACAAGAAGCTCTTGCATCCGACGAATGAAGAGGAGGTGGTCGTCGCTCTCGGCCGTCCGTGGAAGGATTGTGTCCAACGGAGAATTGACCGGCGAGCCATGCTCAAACTCAAAGGGCGATATTCCGATAATCGGATGGATGGACGAGTTGTATGCCAACTCGACATCCGGCAGCCGCTCAACCCAATCTTTCTGGTCGGGACGGATGAGAGTTCGAAGAAGGACCTGTGCGGTCTGATGTGCCCTCTCCGTTTGGCCATCGGTCTGGGGGTGGCGAGCCGAACTTGGCTTGAGGGATGAGCCCCATCGTTTGATGAGCGCCAACCAAAAATCGGACATGAACCGAGTGTCGCGGTCGCAGACGATCTCCTTGGGGTAACCCTTGGTTCGAATCCGACTGGCGTAGAGAATCTCGGCCAACTCCGGTGCCTTGGTGTGATAGCGGCAAGGCAAGAACATGGCAAACTTGGTGAGGCGGTCAACCACTATGAGAATCCCATCGACGCCCGTCTTGTGCTTGGGGAACGGYCCGGTGATGTCCATGGCAATCGCTTCCCTTCGGCGCAAGGGGACCGACAATGGTCGCAGTTCGCCATAAGGACRATGATTGCGAGGTTTGCAACGTCGGCAAACTTTGCATGAGTCGCAATAGCGCGTGACGTCGTCGAGGAGACTGAGCCACCAAAAGCGCTCGCGTAGTCGGCCAATCGTGCCATTGACTCCAAAGTGTCCGGTGGCGGGGGCGTCGTGGAACTCRCCAAGAAGCCGGGTGTGCAAATGTGAATCTTGCGGCACACAAAGAAGATCCTTCCCCCGCGAATGAAGAAGCAAATATCCCTCTTGGATCCGATACTGCGAAGGCGCYGGATTGGGAGAGGAACAGTTTGCGTACTTGTCGCGAAACTCGGGGTCGGCTTGATAGCCGTGGATGAAGCTGTCCCGCAAGTCATCCTCGATCTCGAAGGTTGAGTAGACCGCGGTGCAGTGGTCCGGACGCCACGAAAGGGCATCCGCAAAGCGGTTCGACTTCCCCAGAATGTGATCGGGAAAGAAGTCGAATTGGTCGATGAAGGCCATCCAACAGGCAATTGTGATGTTGACAGTGTCTTGCGACTTGTAGAACACCAAAGGATTGTTGTCCGTTACCCATCGGAACTGGCGTCGACCGAGGAGGAAGTGCTGCCATCGCTTGAGTGCGTGRACGAAGGCGAGAAGTTCCTTCTTGCGTGCATCGTCGATGGAGTGCACGGCCGACACTTTCTTGCTGAAATATTCGACCGGGTGCCAATCCACGCCGTCATGTTGCTCGAGGACGGCACCAATGCCATAGCCGGATGAGTCCGTGGTGACGCACATTGGCAATAGCGGGTCGTATATCCGCAATACCTCCGCGGAAAGCAATGCGGCCTTGAGGGCCAATAATGATTCCCGCGTGTCCGTCCCGAAGTCAAACGGTCGGTCCTCGCATTGAAGCTTGGTTAAGTGAGCCGCGATCTTCGAGTAGCCTTTGATGAAGCGTTGGTAGTAGCCAGCAAGGCCAAGGAATGATCGGACATCCGTGACGTTCCGTGGCTCCGGCCAATCTTGGAGGGCTTGAATCTTGTCCGACAACGGGCTGATGCCTTGTGGAGTGACGAAGTGGCCCAAGTATTCCAACTCTTGACGCACGAACTCGCACTTGTCGCGGTTGGCTTTGAACTTGGCGCGCCGGAGTGTCTCCAACACTCGTCGAAGATGGTCAAGATGTTCCTCCAAGGTCCGGCTATAGACAAGGATGTTGTCCAGGTAGACCAGCACGAACCGGTCCAACATTGCTCGGAACTCGTTGGTCATCGCCGCTTGAAAAGTCGTCGGGGCGTTGGTGAGTCCAAAAGGCATAACAACCCACTCGAAGTGCCCGTACCGTGTCTTGAACACGGTCTTGTAGCGATCTTGCGGCCGAATCGAGATCTGATGATATCCTGACTTCAAATCCAATTTAGAAAAGAATTTTGCGCCGCCCAAGCGCTCCAGAAGGTCGTCAATACGAGGAAGAGGTCCCACGTTCTTGACGGTTTGCGCATTGAGCTTGCGGTAATCAATGCATAGGCGAAGGTCCTTGTTCTTCTTCCGAACGAAGAGAACTGCGCACCATAGGGTGAGCTACTAGGCCGGATCCAGCCTTTGTCCAACAAGTCGTCGAGCTGCGCGCGGAGTACTGTAAGTTCCTCCTCGCTCATGTGGTAAATGCAACCTTTTGGCGGCACGACACCGGCCTCGAGAATGATCTCGTGAGAGATTGGCCGGTCCTGCACCACGCCGGTGGGTGACTCGAAGACGTCGGCAAATTCGTCGAGCAACCGCACCACCCGGGGTTCTGGAGACAAGTCCATAGGTTGAGAGTCGGCTACCGCGACGGTTCGAAGAAAACATAAGCCGATCTCCTCGGTCCACTCGTAAGCACAAGTGGCCCAAAAAGACTTGGCGGTTACAACTTGGCACCGGATCGAAGGGTGCGGAGGAGGAATTGTACATGGTACTTCGGCACCGAACGCGTCGCAAACCGTAAGTGTCCGCCGGTGGAAGTTGACCGTGTGATCCGCACTTGCAAGCCAAGGCATGCCCAAAATGATGTCGAAGTCCGTGTCCAAGACGTCGAACGTCACCGGTTCGCATGCATGAGGTGCGAAATAAACCGGGACGGCTTCGATGTAGTGATCAAGGAGTTGTTGCGTTTGACCATCCGCCAGCTTGATCGTTGTAGGGTGTGCCTTCCTTCGAACTTGTGGTCCAAGGCCGGCCCTTTGCATGAAGGACTGGCTAATGAAGTTGCGAGTCGCGCCGCTATCCAGCAA